TCTCCTCATGGAGGATGCTTGTGGCTCGGCTTTGGGTTCTCAGACATGACCATCTCCAAGCCTATTCTGTGCAGCTGAATACGACGGTATCGACTGGACCTGTTCCAGTGACAAGCCCCAGTGCCACGTCAGGACATCTGAGTTGCATGGAAAGCCACAGGCATGTTGCAGAGCCGGGAAACAGGCCTAGGGCTGATCTGCTTGGTGAGGGGAAGTCTCTGGATTTCCCCGCCAAGGTAGCAGGCGCGAGACCGTGGCTCTCCCGAGAGCTGTGGCAGGGGGACTGGGCACCAAAACAGCTGGGTGTCCCCCACGGCTCCCTTAGCTGCAGCTGGGAGAGCTGACCCAGTCAGCACTGCCACAAGGGCTTGGAAAGTTTGTTCTCATAAGGCTATGAAATGGAAAAAAAAAAAAGTGTGGACAGAAGAAACTCAGTCTAGGGCAAGACCACTCAAGCAAGGAAGCACTGGAAATCCAAATGTTTGTGGGTTTTGGCATTGCCCTTCACACTACAAACATACCTTTTCAAGAAGCCTTCCTTGACAAAACACAAGTCCTGCACTGGGCACTAGGCCCTTCTGCCCAGTTCACCCTTCCAATCCTCACCAAAGCACAGGGAGGAGAGGCAGAGCAGCTTGTTTCAGACTCTAGCCTGAATCTTCTTCTGAGATCCATCCTCTCCTGGGGTTTGGCACACGCATGCCCTCTTCTTCTCTGGGCACTTGCTTATGAGCTAGATACTGTCTCAAACAACTCTTTGGTCTCACTCTTTCGGCTTGTGCTCAGATGGCAGATCCCTATGAGCTGCTCTGTCATGCTGGGGTGGCCAAGGATGCCTGGAGAGATGTCAGTGCATGAAGCACACCACTGACACACAGCAAGGGGCCACAGGGCAAGCAAATGGAATAACTTCTATAATAAGTTTAATATTTGTAGATTGAATATTCAAAATACTTGTATTTCCCATCTTATGTGTCATACTGCAGGGCTAGCTGCAGTCCAGCAGCATGTGTTAAGCAATATGAACTGAACAGGAGATGAATATCAGAATCTGGCTCTGCCAAGTAGTCACTAAAGGCTTTAGGCAGCAAAGGCACAGGGAACCAGGAGTACACTTCACTAGAAGGTCGTTTCAGGCATGCACTGCGGTGGAAAAAGTAGAGAGTCTAACACATGTAAAAATGATAAAAGGAGAAGAACGGAAGCTTTGATCAAAAGAGAGTGGGAGTGAGGGTGCTGGAGATGCCTGCAGAGACGGAAGAAAAGCAGGATGACGGAGGACTTTGTACGTGAGGACATACATAATTCTTTTGGAGCCAATAAAACCGAGGCCAAAGGAGTACAGGCAAATTGCTACTCACCTCCTTCAAGTTCCTGAACCATTCCCCCCGCCAAATCATGGGAACATGGAGGCAGAGCAGATTTTAAACAAAACCAAAATAAATAAATAAATAAATAATATTGGGGGTTTCTGAGCCTTCTGAGTTTTCGTCTACAACTACAAGAATAAGAAATGTCTGGCATTTTCTTTAAGTGGCAGAAACATCCTTGAGCAATCACTGGGTTCCAGCAACTGAGACTGCAGAAAAACAAACAAGAACCACATTCTTGAACACTGGAAAGCCATGATGCTACCAAGAGACTCGATATAGTTACAAATGCAAACATCTGTATGAGCCCTTATGCATATTTGTGGGTAGTCATTGAGCCAATACTACTGGGACATCTTGCTTAGCAAGATGAGTTTGCGTTCGCCAACACCAAGACGCCTTAACCACAGTATGAAATACAATGTACTTCTAAGCTGTTATCAACAGCTGAGTTGGGACAACACCAATGTTTTCCAAGACAAAGTTGAGCTTTGGTTTGTGTTTTTACATTAGGGATGGTGCCTGTGAGCAGGGCTGCTAGAAATATATAATTCCTGCAGCGAGAAAAAACTAGGTAGCCACCACAGTACAACATCCATCGTGTGTCTAAGACCCAGGCAGACCTCAGCTTGGAGCGGAGGGGTTATCTGCAGAGGGTGAGAGTGGAAATCGTCCTCTACAGCCTATGGCATTACTGGTGCAGGCTGAGAAACTGCCAATTAGGGCAAGCTCTAGTCGTGTTTGCAGCCTGGTGTCTTAAGGCAACGAAGCTCATATGATCATGCCATCTGCCAGCTTTCTCCTCGCACATTTCCACACAGCTTCCCCGAGGGTCCTCTCAAAGACACCAATCCCTGCCACTTTCACCAAAATATGCAGCTGCATAGAGAAGAGGGATCTTTTTAGTGTCCTCATCAAGAAACACCGCAGAGTTCAGCCTTTATTAACCAGCAGACAGATGATGGGGACAAAAAATTACATATGTCCCAACCCTGGAAAAGTGTGCTCGATGTCTGCACTTTATGAGACGCCACAAACCTAAGCATAAAACACAAGCCAGTAGGAAAGGAGGTCCAGCAGACCTTCTGATCTCACCACTGTTTTTCTGTGGATTGAGCTGAAGTGAGATGCATTTGTTTTATAGAGAGTACTTAACAGACCCTGATGAAACATGGTTATTGGTAGCATGAATAACACTAGCTCAAATTTTGACTAGAAATGTGATATGACTCTGTCCAAGTTTCCTTCTCTCAACCTCCCAAGTTCTCCTAGGTATTCAGCCTCCTGTTCCCCTCTATGTCTGCTCCAGTTTAACTCTTCAGTTCTTGTATACAAACGTAGTCCAAGCAATCAGCTAAGATCAACACAGTATCAACTTCCACCTCCTTTTGTGATACCAAGCCAAGTTCTTCTCCTGCTGTCAGAAGAGGAACGTGGTCAGAAACTTTTCTCTCTTCCAAAAAAGTACCTACAGACATGCACAAAAAATGCACTCCACTCTCCTCAACTCCAAGGTCAAACCTTGGGCTGACAGACTCGCACGAGGCTCAGGACAGAGCAGCAGGGGACGTGGCATGTGTGCCAGCAAAGCTGTGTTGCTGAGATTAGAGCAGCAGCAACTGTAGAGCAAGAGAAAGGAGCCTTTGAAAGGCTTTCTGGAACTAGGACGAGAAGAGCAAGAAATGCTGCAGATTTGGGTTGAGGTGTCCTAGTAGAGAGCTGCCTGCTGCATTTAAGAGCTCGGAACGGAGAAACTACGGGGTGCTCCAAGACAGATGCTGCTGTGCTCAGATGACAGGGGAAAACTTGTTCCTGGCCTGTCCCCACATCACCCCATTAAATGCAAACAAGCCAAACACATGCAGACCATCCATGTTTATTAAAGAATACATACAGATCCTGGCAAAACAAGAGTAATTGTGAAGAGAGCAGAGACAATTTGACCAAGACAGGTATCTTGTTAATAAGGCCCGGACGTGACACTTGCAACCTCATTTTCCCTTTTCCTTCACCAAGACTGCTCAACATTTAATGATTTCTTATCTAAAACACTCATTACTGCCCTAGTACACGCTACTGGGGGATGAAGGGGATGACACACTTAGTGTCTGCATCAAAGTCATCGTGCTGACAGTGCAGTTTTGACTGTCAGCCACTGAAATGTTCGATTTTCCTTGAGACTCCTTTTTTTAGAATACACTTCAAAGGATCTCCTTTCCTTTTTCACAGATTTTTTTTCAGGCATTAACACATCTCCTTGTTTTTAACAGTCCCTCATGCTGCTTAGTTTGCTGCAAAATGCACTGAAGGCTGTAACAGGACTTTTTTTTTATTAACACTCAGATTTCCAACTGGATTATTCCAGCTCTATGTGATGCCAATTTATACCTGATAAGAACCTTGATCTAAGCTTCAGGCAGTTACCATTGTGAAAAGGCAAGTGGGAAAAGTAAACCCACCTGGTTTGTCTGTATAGGTCTATAAAAGCTTGAAGCATCAGCTCTAGGACAGATGCAAACCATGTGTGCTACGGAGAAACCATGGGGTGCTCCAAGACAGATGCTGCTGTACTCAGATGACAGGGGAAAACTTGTTCCTGGCCCTTGCCCTCACCAACCCATTAAATGTAAACAAGCCAAACACACGCAGACCATCCATGTTTACTAAAAAAGAAACTACAGACCTGAGGACAGCTGATGAAAACGATCAACGAAATGGTGAAATTGGTAACTATGGAGAAACAATAACTAACATACTTGAACGATAACCATGGTCTTTAAAACCACTGTACCGATCCTCCTAACAGCTACATCGCAGAAACACGTCCGCTTGGAAGCAATGGGGCACATAAAACGTTTAAGGCAGCCTAAGTAAATCAGAGCACACGCAGCAGCACCTTTCATCACCTCAGTGCCCAGAGCTCCTCACTGCTCGAAGCCCGGCACTCGGGACTCAGCCAGGACACTGCTCAGAGCCCGGCACTCGGGACTCGGCCAGGACAGGGCCTGCGGGTACCTGGAGCCGCCTGGCCAAATGCGGTCAGAGAAACCGGCCTCAGGAACCGTACGAACTCAGTAACTCAGGGAAACACAACCTCTGCAATGCAGAGCTCCCCCTTTCCCAGGAAGGCCACAGGCACCCCAAGCGCCCTCCTCGCAGGCACGCCTAGCCCTTAGCCCTAACACGAGCTGTTTATTAACAGAATTACTAGAAGCGCCACGGCGCCGCACGGGCACGGGCGCCCCGTTCGCCCCGTTCGCCCCGCGCTGCGCACGCGGCCACCAACCGCCACCCCGCGGCCCTATCCCGCGCCCCGCGAGGCGGGACA